GGAAAGAATAGGAAGTCAGGAAAGGCTATGATCCCCAAACCCTATCCTCTCATATACTTAAAAAGTTCTACTTTATAAGTGTGGGCACAACCTTCCCAAACAGTACCAACTGGGGGACCAAATGTCTTCCCATAGGCTCATGTTTTGAACATTTCTAATTCAAACCACCACAGTTGTAAATGACAGACATGGGACTGGAGCAAGGCAAGACTCCTTTCCCTATAATATAAACCACTGAATTAGTGTTGGTAATAAATGAAGGTCTGTTCCTCTAGCCATGAAGAATGGATGCTGTTGAGCTCTTCTCATAAGCAGGCTTCAAGTCTCAGGAGACGCTATGTGCTAGGTCACACAGCTGGCCTTTCTTCATCACATCCATCCATCTGATGAAATGACCTTGGTCCTCTTGCTACCAACAGAGCTTCAATTTATGTGCAGGATGAAAGGCGCAGGCTTCTCTTCCACAGAATCTTAATGCAGACTGCAGCATGGGGATTCTATTAAGGTGGTTCACATTTCCTTATTGCCAAATAGAAGTTTAAAATCTCTTTCCAGCACATAGCTGATGCCAGCTTCAGAATTCAACTTGCTATAAATTTAAAGTGCTGCCACTTTGTGAAGAATTCTAAGCTAGGCATTTCAGGACACACAAGCATATAGGCCATGACTATGTATCTTTTGTGTAGTTTTCTACAACAGGACATAGTAATAAATGATAGTTGCAGTATTTAAGTTTAAAGTGGGAATAATCAGATTACTGCACTCAAGAACATTGGCTAATGTGGGTAATTAGACCTTGAACACATCTATCTTCTAAGTATATGCCATTGCTCGTGCTTTAGAGTTCTGTCCAGTGATATGGCTCTGTAATCTTATATAACCCCCTGGTTTTTTTTTTTGTGATGCAGCTATCAATCTGATAATGACTTCCTACCTTATGGAGAGGTACTAAGGCTTTGGAAATGAATACTACTCTTACCCTATAGATGCTCAGTTTCCTGACTTATGACAAATGAGACAATATTGGAGATTTTATGGCCAGATTGACAAGTAGGTGCCAAGAAATATGTTCAGTGGAAAATGCAATCCATTTAAATGTTTGTTAAATTATGTCCATAGGGATTGTGTATGCATGAAATCTACTCTCTCATTTAATACCACACCTACTATGTTTAACTAATGTTTGATGTAGAAGTTAACAGCATACCTGCTGTTTCTAACTAATGTTTGTATTATAAATTCCAGATAAAACTTCAATTCAGTACAATAAAGGAGACATGTCTAGAAGCCAGTCTCACAATGGGGAGGGGAGAGGTTTGGGTTCCCTCTTTGGGATTCCTTCTGTGCATCAGACATATAGCCTCTGAGAACTGTGTGCAATTCTAAGCCATATGAATAGATGAACCAGAAAAATTCTACCTCAGGTATGGGAGGGATAAAGCTCAATTCTGGTTAGTGATCTATAGAGTTTGGTTCCATCTCTTATACGCTACATCTCTATTTTAATAGGGGTTACTAAAGAGCTTGTTCTACTTAGTTCCATAGAGTTGGTTGTCCCATCTGTGTAGTCAATGGTGAAAGGCATTTTTCAAATGCATTTCTGTTGCCCCCTCCCCTATTCCTGTGGCTTTGAGCAAGCTGTTATCTCAGCTACAAGCCTCGTTCAAGGTGGCTAACAGTCACATACCCTCAACTGTGAAGAAGATAGTGTGTGTGAATGTGGACACACATTGTGTCACTGTGTATATGCTGTGCATGGGAATGTGTTTGGATCTTTGGAGTTGAAAAGCCGTGTAATTTACCATTGCTACCTCTTACATCTCACCAAAAAGACCTCCACTTGACAGCTTTCTGGAAAGACGGGTAATGAAGTTTGGAAACCTTTCCAGGAGAGGGTCTGAGTGTCCTCTTCTTCATTGGTTCGTTCTCCGTTCATCTAAGCTGGTTTTCAACAAGACCTTGAAAACTAGAATTCATGCTGCCAGTGAGTAATGTCAAGTTTGGCCCCTGAGCACTTCTGCTTTTTACCTCAGTCTCTACATGTGGAGCTTACTAGGTCCTTGAGCACACTCAGCATGGAAGAATTTGGAGTCTGTACCAGACAGTAAATCCTAAAGCAGTGTTATGCAGGAAGGTTTGGGGAAATAAGTAGCCTTCGATCCCTCTGAAAGACGGTTCTTGAAGGACTTGAAAAGGCTCTGTGGCCACAGCTAAATTCAGTCCCTGTTGCTGATGGTGGCAGATTCACACCTATGTCTTTGCCACATCCTCAGTCATGCATGGCTTCTCTACTGCTTCCTGAACTCCTCTGCCATGTCAACCCTGTGTCCCATGCTCTGTTTGGGTAGGAACCTAGACTAAGAAGGGTCTTTACTATTTGTGGCTTTTACTTCCTCAGGTAAAGGTGTTATATAAGCCATGTTTTCCTCTTAAAGCTAAGGACTAAGGACCTCCCATCATGCATGAAAGAACTAAGCTAGCTAGTCAGCCACCACCTTGATGTCTGGAGAGGGTGTGAAACCAGTGTCGCCAAAATCTGCCTCAGAGTAAGAGCTGCTGGAACTATAAACTGCAGAATCACTTAGTGGTAATTTTGATGGTTGGGGAGATAAGTGACTAGAATGAGAAGGACACACTCTTTGGAGAGGCAGCTCTGGGAATTGCCCCTCAGAATAGCATTGGGGCCTCATGGTGAGATCCAAGGAAGGTTCTCAGTAATTTTCCTGGCAGGTAATGCTCAAGAGAAACCCAGGGCCTTCTGCATAGCAAATGCTTCATCTCAGAACAATGGCATGAAAGGCTTTTTTTCCCCCGATCCAACTATTCTCTCCCTAAAGTGTAGGTAGTGATACAGAAGAATCTCCTGCAAGGGTAACAGGTCAGAAAATCTGAGAGTGGCTTAAATGTTAGAGATTATGGAGCCCCTCTTCCCTCCTCTGCACCTTTAGCATGCTGTCAACAGGGTTCCCAGATAATGGATAAGAACGAAAAGCTCTCAAAAAGACCCATGGAGAAAGGCAAGAGGGAGGGAATCTCCAAGATGGAAGTCAGGAGGGACCTATTCAACACACATTGAAGTTTAGGTGCTCCACAGATTCACTTGCCCTCATGTTGCGGATGCTTGTTTCTGCTCCTGTTGCTTCAATCATGTCTAGCGTCTGCCAGCGATAACACATACTCATTTTTATCAACTTGGACTTGTATCAGATACAGAACGCCAGTCATAAAAATTAGTTCAGTTATGTTCCAAATAAGGAGACCCCTTTAACCTGTCCTAACCATATTGAGCATAGTCTCAAGTACGTATGAAGTCATATAGACCCTTGCCATGGTCCTTTGCCAAGACCTAGGCCAAAGTAGGTCACAAGGAATGGAGCGTGAATGAAAGATCCATGTCATAAGAGAGATCTGTGTGCTCTCATCTGTCCTGTCCTACCCTCCCTCCACACCTACCTGCCTACACTCAGAAAAGACCACATAGTAAAAGTGACTTTCATAAAACAAAGGCTTCACCAGAAACAAAATCTAGAAACTTGATGTTGAATTTGGATTTTCTCAGAATGGAGACACAATCTTTATTAAGACACCTTGCTTATGATATCTGGACAGCCAAGAAAACAAATTCGGGACCTAATGACCATGTAAATGTGTGCTGAAATGGAAAGTTTAGAACAGTATCAAAATCTTCCAAATAAAACTTGGCAAAAAACAAGTTAAAGCTTCTCAATAGACTTCACTCTGTACAGGACAGGGCCTGTGAGATTTTAAGATGGCTGGTAGAAACTTGTCAAACTGAAATGTGTAAAGACGGTGTGAAAAATTAAAAATGGAACATACCTGATACATGACAGGGCAATTTCCCTAAGTTATGGGCAATATCTGAATGGGGTAGAAAACATAACTAACATATTTTCCCAAATACAGAACTCAATACCTCTGTGAACCAGATCCATCAAGCTAATAGAATACCAAACAGAATACCAACCACTAGCCCACCTGTGCATAATCCAGAAGCTAAAAGCCAGCGGCTCCAGCAAGAAATCAAAGGTGTCAGATCCTACTGATAAACAATGGTGAACTCTATTAAAAAATGTCCATGGCAAACCATAAAAGCAAAAAAAAAGTAATAAAAGACTAAATGTGAGAGCCTGAGAATTCAATATCTAAATCTAGCCTATAAAAGTAAATTTTCCATGCAATAAGAGTAAATTTTCCATGCACACAAAATCCAAAGCAATTCACTGTTATCACATTTGTGCTTCAGGAAATGATATCCCATTGAGCCATTCATGTGCATAACTAAATGCATGCTAATAAAAATAAAACATTTCAAGGTGAAACAATTCAGGTCATGAACTCAAATCTATACAAATAAGGAAAATGTCAGAGTAAGTTAATACCTTGCTAATCTAAAGGGTGGCTGTTTAAAGCAGGGATAGTGAACATGCTTGGGTTTTTATAGCATGTGAAGGCATGGACTAAGGTGGTGGGATGTCACAAGGACAAAGAAGGTAACCTCTGGTAGGGTGAGCTGGGTAGCAACTCTCGGACATCTATATCTTTACACTCAGATACTCTAGGATTTAGGATGGTCTTCATTCATTGACTTCCTCTATAGACCAATTCACACCAGACGAGTCTTCGGGGCCGATATTCCAACAGGAGCTTGGCCACATTCTATAATACGCAGAGGCTGAGCAGGCTGGCAGCCTGAGTCAGACACTGGGTCAGAGACAAGTCAGGTCAAAGGAGAACCTGACCAACCAAATGATCTCGGTACAGGGGCAATTCTCAGGGTTTGGGGAATTCTTTTCTCTTTGACTTACACCTATTCAATTCCCAGAAGGTGTATTCCAGCCTAGACTAACACTTTTCTAATATAAAAGCCAAAGAATCATAAGCCTATCTCAGATAAGTCAGAAACTTCTCAATCCATGTTAAACTGCCTCCAGATATTTTATATGTGTAGATGTGTGTTGCTCCTGTCCTTGGTCATAGACTTTTTTTTTTCTTACTACTCACTCTTTAATATCCAAAGTATTAAGTGACAAAGTTTTTTAAAAAATAGAAAAATGCACACATACAATGAATTTAACAAAAAAAAGAAAAAATCACCCCGTTTTTTAATAAAATAAAAACTCACAAAATCTCGTTCCAACATGTATGTATCATAAACTGGCTTTAAGAGTCACATAGGGAGAACAGGTACTTCTCCCCTAAAGTACCCAGAAGGAGTCTGACCACCATTAGGAACGGGGGGGGGGGGGCGGGGGGCGGGTCGGGAAGGGCAGCTCAGCAGCAGCAGCCGCCAGCGGAGGACAGTTTTAACTCAATATCCCACAGCTTCATCAGCAAGGCCTTCAGGACGTCTTCCATCTGCTTTATAGACTTCTCTATTTCAACTCTGCTTTCCAGATTGAGAAGCTCCTTGTCTTCCGACACGATTTGCTTTTCGGAGGACCCTAAAGTGTAACTTTCAATGGCTTAGATGCTGAGGCAGAACAAGTCCCTCTTGTAGTCCAGGTTCTTGGGAGTGCATCTGTACACATAGCCAAAGGCGCAGGGAGCAGCCTGTACAATACAGCGTCCCAAGAATGCAGCCGTCTTCGCCTTTACACTTGGACAGTTTCTGTTCTTTATCCACAGACACATTGGAGGAAACACAGCGCAAGAGGATGCAGTTGCTGTCCTCCTGGCTGGTCACCCAGGTGAGCGAGTCGCCCAGCGGCCGGCGACAGCGCAAGCACAGGAACACGAGGAACACGAGCGGGTTCTCCCCGGCGGCCGCCGCCGCCGCCGCCGCCGCCTTCTCCTCGCCCGGCTCGGGCTCCGCCTCCGCCGCGTCAGCGCTCGACATGCTCGCCCACTTCTGAAGCAGCCAGTAGCGGGGCGAGTCTTCTGAGAGCCGCTTCTCCAGCAGCGAGGGGTCGCCCCGCGTGCCCAGGCGGCTACAGACACAAGAAGCAGAGGAGCAACCTAGGGAGCAAGAAGCCGCCATGAACGACAAATCTCCCGCACTCCCCAGAGCCCCCGGTCATAGACTCTTAATGCGGTGGATAGTGGTTAATTCAGATACTTATTTCTCAGCACTTTCAACAATAATGCAACTTGAGTGTTCAACCACAGCTTGGACATCTATATTAATCCCTACTCTACCACAGGCTCATGGAACATAATGGAAGGGAGGGGATGAAAGAATAAGCCAGAGGATGGAGAAGAGTGCTGTAAAATACTGTTTTCTGGACTTGATAATATCTGTTGTACACATGAACTCACAGAAGCTGTGGATTACGTACATAAACCGGTATAAAGTTGAGTCAGTTAATAGTTCTGACTTGGAGATGGGAAAGACTCTGAGGCTCCACCTCTAGCTGAGTATCCATTGACAGATTGCTGGAGGGGTAAAACTGTCTTTAGGAATGTGGCTACTGGTAGGTTCCCCAGGCCCTAGAGGATAACCTTATACCCATATGCATATCTTAAAGATGTGATTATGAATTCACATAAGCAGATCTATAAGTGGTGGCCCAACATAGGAATGGTTGACAGATGGTGTGTGATCATCTCCACAGATGCAGGAAAACACCTGACAAAACTACCTCCAGTTAGGTCAAGAATGAATCTCTACATAAGGCTGACAAGCCTTACAGCTACCATGTGTGCTTGGTCCAGTAGGATGGAGATGGAGCTTCACTTTTGAGGTCGTCTACAGTCTTACAGCCCTCGTTGAGTTCTATAGCTTTGAGAACTTGAAAGTTTGTATTCATAAATGACCCAGTCCTTCTAGCTTGTAATAGTAGCACAAACTGGTATTAGAGTGCCCTGATATAATACCTTAGAAATGGGAAAACCATAGGTGGGGTCTGTTTGAAGTATCTGTATCTTCACTTTTTTTTTTTCCTCACCTTCTAAAGACCATCCAGAGCTTGCTCCACATGAAGGATGGCTGGCCTGTGTATGATTGTTTCGTTCCTGCAAGAGCTGTAGAATGGGTGGCTTTACCTGGCAGCCCCTTTGTGCCTGATACACTTGTATTCTCGTGAGCCCCATGGCAAGGTTTGGATTCATTTCTCTGACACTCAGGGCTCTTGTTGAAATATACAGCAGAGCTACTTAACTATTCTGTCCATAACTGAAAGTAGCCTAGTTTATTGCCTGTGTTGCTCTTAGTCAAGGGCTAATACATCCAAAAGCATGGATCCTCTGGGTCTCCCATAGAAGTCAGATGTAAATACATGGCAGTTTGTGTGATCAGGTCAAGATCTCCCTCCAACAGACTTCATGGGAAATGTCACCCTTGGTGTATTCTTGTCCTAACTTGTTTTATCCACTCTATTTTCAATTCTCATTTAAGGAGTCATTTTCACATAACCATGTTGTGGAATATGAAGGAAGGCAGTAGATACAGAAACTGAGGAAATAGACTCTAAGGATGGAATTTAGGAACCCTATCACTCATCAGTGACAAAGACAGTCCCCATGGATGGTGGTAAATAGATCTCTGCTCTTGTCACATGGTAGTGCTATGACTTTAGCTTTTACCAGTGGAGATTGGCGGTAATAGAGGCAGAAGGTGGCTAGACATGAGAGAAGTGGTGGCTGTTATTAGGACCCTAATACAAAATGGAGACATTGAGCCACTTTGTTGCCATCTAAAGAGTCTGAACTCATGTTCACAAGACAAACCCTGAACATTACTATTAAGAGAACTTCAGAGAAGGCTCCTCTTCCAGCCTGAGAAGGCCTATGTCAAAGCCAAGGTTTTACCAAGGAAGAAGTGAGGCATTGAAGCTTTCAATGGGAACATTTAGATGTACATGATACTTACTACTAAATATTCTAGATTCCCTGGGGCCCCTAGGCATGCAACATCGCTACACTTAGATTGTTGAAAGATATTGGACCTCGTCCATTTGTGGACATCTATAGACGTTCAACTAAGGTGGGGTGTTTTTGGAAAGCCCAATACCTGCTCCTCCCAATATATGGACTACTTCACTTCTGGAGTCAGTAAACATGACTCATGGTAATGGGATTGGAGTGATGCTAGTAATACTTAAATGAGAGAGTGTAATAATTCACCAGAGAAGCTGTGATCTGACCAAAATGTAAAAAGGAGCCAGAAGAGTACAGCTGGAAGTAGATCTTCAGGGCACTGTTATGAGCAAGGTGAATTAGAAGGTTAAATGAGTCTTGACATGAGGTTAGGGATCTATGTCTTGGCAAGGATTGTGGGAATAATCTGCTTTTGGGAAGAATGTTAGCTTTTCTAGAGAAACAAAATGCCTTGATGAGGAAGAACTTCTAACACTCTCAAGGAAGTAATCCGAAAAGGCAGACTTAGGTTGACTATATTTAACTAGTTCATTTCTCCAGGGACAACAGAGAATGCTTTCTTATAAACTGCAATGTCCTGGTAGGGGAAGCAACTGGCATCCCCAGTTGGAGGCCGATGTTGACCTGCTGTCAGAACCAGTTTCAGTTTTCAAGAGACTCATAGCATTACAGAATAAGATGTAACCAAGGCTGATAAAAAACACTGTATTAGAAAGCCGAGGCACCATGACAGCCAGGAACTTTTTATCAACTTTACCCATGAAGCTTTGTTGATACACTTCTAGGTGCTATCTTCTACTGGCCAAGAAAAATGGGCATAACAAAGGAATGCATATGGATGTAAATAACTGAGAAGGCAAGAGAAGGAACAGATCCTAATGAAGTCATGGTCTCTTAAGTTTTATAACTGAGCCTATGTCCTTACCTGTTGTGCTAGAGAGTCATGTCACCTTGACAAGAGCTAAAGACATCTGAGAAGAGGGAACTTCAATTAATGACTCCATAAGATTGGGCTTATAGGAAAGCCTATAGAGCGTCATTTTCTTAGTGATTTGATTGGATGGGGTGCCACTGTCCCCTTGCTGGTAGGAGGGTGCTGGGTAGTCTGGGTTCTATAAGAAAGCAGGATGAGGAGACAAGCTGGTAAGTAGCTCCCCTCTGTGGCCTCTGCATCTGCTCCTGCCTCCAAGTTTCTTTCCTGTTTGAGTTCCTGTCCTGGCTTCCTTCAGTGATGAATAGTGAGGTGGAAGTATAAGCCAAATTCTCCCTTTCTTCACCAAGTGGCTTTGGTTATGGTGTTTCATCTCAAAGCAATAGTAACTCTTAAGACAACTTTAAAAATAAAGGAGACTGGAAATAGTTATTCTTCAAAACTAAACTCGTATATTTTCATGACCACTGAGCTGCTTCATTTTAAGGAAGAGTTAACAGGGACTTAAAAATCATTCAGGGGAAGAAAAAATGAGTCCCATCAACCCCATGCTTTTATCTCTGCTCATTCTTTTATGATGCATTTGTTTCTCAAATAACAGGACAATGTGAATGTCAATAAAGGAGAGGAGTGAAGATTGTATTTAAACAGATATATAACCTAAACAGTAGAGCCGCTCTGACCCATGACTTCAATACAACCTCTATTTTGGATTTCCATCATTCTGCCCCATCTATAATGGGTGGAAGACATTAAATTCCTGACAAGTTTTCAGATGTATCATGGGCTTTTCAAGTTTTCAAGTTCATTGGCTATTTTAAAAGCAGTACCACAAAAATGCAACACTGAAAATTTATTACCAGGAGAATGACGACTCCCACGGAGATGAACTATGGGAGGAGGATGGGCATCTGGAGGGATGCTCTAGTTCTCCCTAAGCTAAGGATTTGGGACATGTACAGACTACTTATAATCCATTCCCTATCTGCTTGGAGGAAATGAGAGAAATAGTCTCTTTAAAATGTACCCTGGGAAACAGGCCTGAGCACAACAGTCACCTTCCTGCAAGTGCTGTGAGCCACTCTGGGTTCAAACATGCTCATGCCACTCAGATTCTTGACCTTCCTCTTGTCCTCATAACCCTTCTCTGATGCAATGGCCTGGAGTCTTTCCTAAAGTCCAGGTATATCCTAGTTTGATCTGTTGCTGTGATCAAACATCATGAGCAAAGGAGGAAGGGGTTTATCTCATACTTCCATACCATAATGCATTAACAAGGGACACTGAGGCAGGAGATCAGAAGTGAAAACCATAGAGGATGGCTGCTTTTACTGCCTTCTTATATACCCCAGGACCACTTGCCCAGGGGTGGTACCACCCACATTGGATAGGCCCTCCCACATTAATGAAGAAAATACCCCATAGATGTGCAAACAGGCCAGCATGATGGAGGCAATTCCTCTGAGATTCCCTCCTCCTGGGTAACTTTAGTTTGTGTTAATTTGTCATAAACCTAACCAGGACATGGAATCTACACACAAATAATTCCTGTCTTCAAGCACAGGTCTACATATCCCCAGCTCCAGTGTAATGCTGAATACACTATCACACCTTCTTATGTGCTAACCTGAACATTGATTTCTTGAGAACTTCAACGTTCTTAGAAATGTCCCTAAATTTTAGCTTTTTCCCAGTGGGTGCATGTGTAATTTCAAGTGTAACCTGGTTGAGGTTCAGAATACTTCAGTACCTAATCTACTTTTACTACTTATGGAAATGTCCTAAATGGTGTGAGCTGTGGGAGGAAGTCCACTGTCTTCAGTCCACTAAGAGTCTGGTAGAATTTTAGAATTAATATTCAGATCAGTTATGTTTGCAAAACTGTCAAGATTACCAGGATGTGGGGAGAAACTGGAAGAGCAGGACATGACCAGGAATGAAGTAAGCTTAGTTTCCTCATCTAGGACCAAAAAACAATCTTATAGCCCTACTATGATTCTGTACAGATCAAAGGAATAACTTGGGCATCAAATGTCTGAGTTGTAAAATTCTACAGTTAAGTGTATAACAAGAGTTAAAAATTTCTGACATACTAGCATTATTATTCCCACACGTGGGAAGAGGAGGTCTGAAACCATTGCTGGAAAACAATTATTTCAAATAGTTGAATTCTGCTAAGGGAGGTATTCTAATGGTGCATTGTGTTTAATAAGATAATGAGGGATGTGTATGTTATGATTGCTTGCTAACTAATATCTGAA